ATTCAGTTTTGTAAATCAAGCTMAAGTTTTCATGTTGTGATAATTTGCAGCAATTACTCTTGTTTCTACGTTTTTCACAGTTTGTTTCAGGTTTTTTAAAAAAAGGGTGCAAAAATCTGTTTCCTCAGACTGATTCATTTGACAAATGTCTGTCTGATATAAAAACTTCTTATTCAAGTAAAGTAAAAAATTGGGACAAATTTTTACACTGAGGGTCGGTAACTTCTAAAATAAATGATCATAAAACCACAAACATCCTCTCATGAACATCACTGCAGGTTTGTTTTAATCGAAACAAGCTATAATATGAGATGGATGAATCATAAAACCACGAGGATGTTTCCAAGTTATGGGAACGTGCACATTTATCACCACTGAAGGTGAATTGCTCATAATGTTTTTGCCCGTATCGGCACGCTTTTGTTTCTCAGTGGCGTTAGCAAAATATCTCATGGACTAGAAATTTGAAACAAACTCTCAGAAAGTAATCACTGGATGTCTATTAGAGTCAACCCAAGTCAAAAAAAAAGGCCACACCGCAGCTAATCGACCTTCATGAGAATTTTACAGACATTGAGCTAATTTTGGCATCACAGATGAGCGTTAACCTCACCGCCTCCTGTGAGCTCCAAAACAGCTCCGGCTTTGTCCCTTTTCAACATAAAAAAACATTTTTTTACTGTAAAACTCTGGCAATGACGGCGGCGGCTGACGCGACTCTGGTTTTATGTTTGCATCTGTTCCCTTGTCTACACTGAAAACAAAGCTTAACACAACACCTGCTGCACATAAACACCCATGTTTCTGAAAACCTATCTGTGCGAGTTCCTGAACGGGGGGGAACTGATTCTTATAACTCTATTTTTATTTCTAACCTTAACACCTGGTGGGCTAAGTTCAACTTTTAACATATCACTTTTTTTTTTGTCCTGTGCACATATTTCATCCCCCCCTCCCTCCTTTTTTTTTTTGTTGTTTTCTCCAACGGTGACCTTAGATTCACTGATCTCATCATGCGTGAGCTCCTGGACTTGACAGGCATGCTCAAATCAGAGTTTACCACACAGCTCTGACTCCGGATGAACTGTGTTAGGGGTGTTAAGGAACAGAGCCCTCTTTCTGCCAGCTTCCACCAGCATCGGCCTCTGATCACATACGCTCCTCCTCACTGGATGCGCCTCCAGTTCCAGTGGGGGGGATTGTCCCACTCCTCAGAGTGTTTGTTGTAAGAAGCTGCTCAGCATTTCAAACCAGTTTTCAGAGAAAACCCTTATAAAACAAATTCATATTATCAGATTGGCTGCAAAGATCCTGGACCGTGCGCTCGCTTGCCGACAACCAGAAAATTGTATTTATAACAACCCTTTAACCTTGACCGAAGCAGAGTTGAGCCAAAAGTGTGCAGGGGTGGAGGCAGGTTTAGGATCAGACGACCACATAATCARCGCGCCCCGCTCTCTGCTTTACTCTACCTGGAAGCCATGGTGTTGGCAAGCCCTGAAAGTGTTTCCTCGTAAAGTCGTGTTGACAGACGGTGAAAGCGGCAAGACGGCCCAGAAAGTAAATAAGTACCTAGAAATACATTTAATCAAGTCCAGAAGCTTCTTTCTGTCCATGTGCCTTCAAGAGTTTTATAAATACATATTATACTCGGCTAAATTGGAGACAGGGTCTTGCTGCTCTGTGGCTGTCATGAGTTTTCTATTATTTGCTTTCACTGAAAGATATTGAAACTCTTTATATCTGGTTTCAGAACTCGGTCCTTATATCTGGGCCTCACACTCAGCAGGATCCTGAACAGATCCCGATCATGGATGTTAATTTAGAAGAAGAGAGTGAAATCTTCTCCATATGACTTGTTATTAATAAATTCAACAGAAGCAAAGCATCTGCTCTGTTAAATTTATAGTCCCTTTTTTGTCTTTGAGCTACTGCCGAAGTTTTTTTTTTACATTTATCAGGGGCTGAAGGATGGAAAATTATCTTGATGTTTTGTTTTCTGTCAAAGATTTATTTTGATGCCTATAAAAATTCCTTTTTCTCACATGTGAGTCTTAGCCTCCCCGTCTCTCCGACACTCACAGAACAAACAGAACTACCTTCCAGAAGCTTCCAACAGAACCAGCCRCAGCGGGGAACGGAGCTTTTTGACTCACACAGAAGTTCTCACTTCCATTCATGCGGTGCAAGAAGCCAAACGCATAAAAGCAATCCCACCCTAATAAACGAAGGCCTTTTTTCTCTGCCACAAAAGGAAACTGGCTCCCGACAACACAGTAACTATGGATGTAAAACAGCCTGCAGGGGGAACACTGAGGCCCTTCCAAACAGCCGGAAACGAGGTGACAAGAACCAAACCGTGGATTTGACCCACCACACAAATCTAATCCCAAAGTCACCAACCGCCCAGAGCCAGGAAACTGTAAAGTTTATTTAACTCTGCTTCACAGGAGGAAAAGTGTTGCTTTCTGAGAGCTGGCTCCTATATCTTTGTTTTTAAATTTATTTAAATACATCTCTCTTAAGCCGTGTGAGGGCTAGCAGGTGTAGCCTTWTTGCAGTTATTACCAACACCTCTGAGTCTGCATCAGATTAACAGCTCGTTGATGCAAAGGTCGGCATGTCATTTTCTGTTTCTCACGGCAGCCGAACTGTCAGACAATTCGCTTTTTCTGCCGCCTGTAAGTTAAACAGCATGGAAAAAAAGCACTGTCTGTTCTCTGTGTGACTTGTGTGTTTTGTGTGTGTGTGTGTTTGTGTTTTGTGTGTGTATGTGTGTGTGTGTGTGTGTGTCTCCCTGAGCTTGAGCAGAGGACTGAGGTTTCTGAGGTGAGGCGTCCTCTAGCTTCTCACGCGAAGTGCATCTGATGTTGCACATCACATGCTTAGATGTGTTTCTCTGTGTGCGCTGCGAGACGAGTCGAAGCATTTCACGAAAAGTTACGTAAATAACACCGGCGGCGTGATCAAATTTGTGTCATGTCGATAACTTCATGACTTTTATTCCCCCCCGCCCTCCCCATTCAGCTCAGATTAAAATCAWTTGTAGCGACTGTATTTTGCACATGTGAACTCAGGGTTGCTCTCTGTTGTATTTCCTGACTTCTGAAGAGGCGACGAGTGTTTCCATCAGCTTTGTGTTGTTGTGCATTAAAGTGAGAGCTCAGGAAGGCAGATATTTGTTTGCTTGGATCTCTTTATTTGTCTCTCTTGAGTTCAGCATAATTTTAATCTAAAAAAAGAAACTGAGTTGCATGTTATTAAATTAACAGTTAAGGTGTTTTGTCCCAGTTTGAATGTTTTCTCATGTGTATGTATATATTAGGGGCGCAACGATACAGAAAATTCACGATTCGGTTCGGTTCGATACTTCAGTCTCACGGTTCGATATTTTTTCGATGCAAAAAAGAGAAATTTCCATGCCCCCTTTAACTTGTAATTTATTTAAATTAATTATGAACATTTGTTTAACCTCAAAAGTACAGTTTTTTTAATTAAATGTTGCAGAAACAGCAAGTTTCACAGTGGATCTGCGCTCAAAGTACAGCCTAGGTGGAGTAGTCGAACACAGATCCACTGATCCTTCAACACAGAGCATCTTCAGAAGACAAGTTGATAAAGTAAATTTTAAAAATCTATATTGTTTGATACAAGTGTGTACTGAACCTAAAGCACTGTTGAATACGGTTCGATACGGGTACATGTATTGTTGCAACAATACATGTACCCGTATCGAGCCGAACCGAACTGTTTCGAACAATACAGATTTTAAAAATTAATTTTGTCAACTTGTCTTCTGAAGATGCTCTGTGTTGAAGGATCAGTGGATCTGTGTTCGACTACTCCACCTAGGCTG